GTGTGTGCAGTGTGTGTGGTGTGAATGTGTACTGTGTGTGGTGTGTGTGGTACATATGTGGTGTGTGTAGTGTGTGTGGTGAATGTATGTGGTGTGTGGTAAATGTGTATGGAGTGTGTGTATGGTATATGTGTGTGATGAGTGTGCGGTGTGTGTGTTTGGTGCATTGTGTAGGGTATGTGTAGTGTGTGATGAGTGTGGTGCATGTGTGTGATGAGTTGTGTGGTGCATGTGTGTGGTGCATCTGTGTGATGAGTGTGTGGTGCATGTGTGTGGTGTGTGTGTGATGAGTGTGTGGTGTGTGCGGTGCGTTTGTGTGATGAGTGTGTGGTGCATGTGTGTGATGAGTTGTGTGGTGCATGTGTGTGGTGCATGTGTGTGATGAGTGTGCATTGCATGTGTGGTACATGTGTGTGATGAGTGTGTGGTGCATGTGTGTGATGAGTGTGTGTGGTGTGTGTGTGTGATGAGTGTGTGGTGCATGTGTGTGATGAGTGTGCGTTGCATGTGTGGTGCATNTGTGTGATGAGTGTGTGTGGTGTGTGTGTGTGATGAGTGTGTGGTGCATGTGTGTGATGAGTGTGCGATTGCATGTGTGGTACATGTGTGTGATGAGTGTGTGGTGCATGTGTGTGATGAGTGTGTGTGGTGTGTGTGTGTGATGAGTGTGTGGTGCATGTGTGTGATGAGTGTGCGTTGCATGTGTGGTGCATGTGTGTGATGAGTGTGTGGTGCATGTGTGTGATGAGTGTGTGTGGTGTGTGTGTGTGATGAGTGTGTGGTGCGTGTGTGTGATGAGTGTGTGGTGCATGTGTGTGATGAGTGTGCGTTGCATGTGTGGTGCATGTGTGTGATGAGTGTGTGGTGCATGTGTGTGGTGTGTGTTATGAGTGTGTGGTGCATGTGTGTGATGAGTGTGCAGTGCATGTGTGTGGTGTGTGTGTGATGAGTGTGTGATGAGTGTGCGGTGCATGTGTGGTGCATGTGTGTGATGAGTGTGTGGTGCATGTGTGTGATGAGTGTGTGATGAGTGTGCAGTGTGTGTGTTTGGTGCATTGTGTAGGGTATGTGTAGTGTGTGATGAGTGTGGTGCATGTGTGTGGTGTGTGTGTGATGAGTGTGCGGTGCATGTGTGGTGTGTGTGTGATGAGTGTGCGGTGCATGTGTGGTGCATGTTTGTGATGAGTGTGCGGTGCATGTGTGTGGTGTGTGTGTGATGAGTGTGCGGTGTGTGTGTGGTGCATGTGTGTGATGAGTGTGCGGTGCATGTGTGGTGCATGTGTGTGATGAGTGTGCGGTGCATGTGTGGTGCATGTGTGTGATGAGTGTGTGTGGTGTGTGTGTGATGAGTGTGTGGTGCATGTGTGTGATGAGTGTGCGGTGCATGTGTGGTGCATGTGTGTGATGAGTGTGTGTGGTGTGTGTGTGATGAGTGTGTGGTGCATGTGTGTGATGAGTGTGTGGTGCATGTGTGTGGTGTGTGTGTGATGAGTGTGTGGTGCATGTGTGTGATGAGTGTGTGGTGCATGTGTGTGATGAGTGTGTGGTGCATGTGTGTGATGAGTGTG